GAGAAAGTTGACAACAATGGTACAAAGAAGTTGGCATGGCAAGACTACATCAGAGCTAGCATTCAGGTCAGACGACTGGCAGCGCAGCACGGTCGACCGCGTTCCAGCACGACTTGGTCGACCGCGCTCCAGCAGTGCAAAGTCGACGGCCTGCCAATGTCGCAAGTTGACGGCGTGCCAGCATTTCTCCCGCAGAACAGCAGCGCACCCGCTTCGCAGGTGCTTGCAGATGATTGGCGGGCTGAGCCTCGTCACCTGCACAACGCACACGTCAAGTCATCCTCGTGTTGACGACTCCACCTAATCCGCCATGTCGGCCTTGGGATACCACCACCGAGGTCAGACTCGCCAACTTCGCCTGGGCGACCGTCGCACTCCTCCGCAGAACCTCGTCACCCAGGCTCCCGTATGTGCCCGTCGATCGGGCAACCACGTCAACCAGATGCTCCCGTATGTGCCCGTCGACCTCCCAAGTCGACGACCACCCCAAGTCGACCTCACCAGGTCGACCACGCCCCTGGTCGACCAACTCCAGGTCGACGTCATTTTTGGTCGACCAGCTCCACGTCGACCAGCACTCCTGGTCGACCAGCTCCATGTCGACCAGCACAGTTGTCAACCGACCACCCAAGTTGGCTACTTGAAGTCGACGTCACCAAGTTGACGCCTAGCTACTGGACGCCGAACTGCTCGGCGTCCTGAGTCGAGGTCGACATCGGCCCCTCCTTCGTCAACCACCAGGTCAGGTCGACCACCAACAAGTCGACCAACAGGTTAAGTCAACCAACCACCAGGTCGACCCGCAGTCCTGTTAGCCAACCACCCAAGTCGGCTGCTCCAAGTTGACGTCCTTCGCAGGTCGACATCTCTGAAGTCGGCGCCACCCTGAAGTCGGCGCCCGTGCAGTGGCCCCCGTGCAGGTCGACCTCCTCGTCAACCAGCTCGCCCACTGCTGCAGGTCGGCTGCTCCCCTCACACCCGACCATGAAATCGGCTCCGCCCAAGCGAGGACGGGGCCAACACACAACTCCCACTGACATTCTCAAGGACGTCACAGCCAAGGGCAAGCTCACCCCTGACGGACGGAGGACAGGAGCATTAGAAAACAAGACTCGCAGCATAGTCAAGGCGGCACAAAGCAGCAAAGTCAACAAGCTCAGCAACTTAGGCAGATGTGGCAACAGACTCAAAGGAAGGGGCACTCACAACCGTAGCAAGGAGACGAGTGGCAGTCAGATTGACAGCACAAACACGACCAGACTCAAGGTAAGGAACGTGCGGAAGAGAGGACACAGGAGGTGACGGCAGGACAACACGCTGTGGAGAAGAGGAAGGACGAAGTGCCATGGTGTGCGTGCTTGGGACAGGTGGAGGACAAGGACGGGCAACCAGATGAGTACGGACACGCGTGACATGACACAACTTAGGCTCTCTACTCTCAGCAAGAGACTCTGTGACCGCTGTGTACGGAAGAGGAGCAGGCAGTGGGGAGCCAAGCAATAATGTTAGAATAGCGAACAGGAATGAATGCATTGAGAAGAAAGGTGGTACAAGTACTAACCCTAATTGGGTTGTACCCCTCATGGGCTACCCGACTATAGCCTACACAACCTAATCATGATAATAGTTTGACACACCTCCATAGGCAAATTGGGGGAGAATAAGGGGTCATAAGACAAGTCAAGAAAAGCAAAGCAAGCTCAGGGTGGATCACAAAGTCACCACACACTCTGATCACAAGCAAATGGTCACAAGGCCAGTCCACATGCAGAGGTATATAAATGAGAACAAGCAACACAGTGATCAAAACATAGCAAGAGTAAGCATGCAAGTATATAGATATATATAGATCAAAGTACAAGCAAAGCATGCAGAAGGCCTAAAGCATTACATAAACGCTGATGATCACCAGATTGAAGTGCCTTGGTGAATATATCAGTAGTGTTGGCCCAAGTGGCCACGTAAACAAGACGAAGCTGACCACGCTACTCCAACTTTCGAGCAAGGAAGTAACGCAGAGCGATGTGCTTCGTCCTGTGCTCTAGTCTATGCTCTTGACACAAGGCAATCATGGCCTTGTTGTCTACGTACAGAAGTGGAGGAGAAACGGGCCCCTCTCCCAAGCCAGTTATTAGGTAGGTGAGCCAGCATAACTCCTGTGCAGCCATGGCCCCTGCATAGATCTCAGCCTCACAACTAGAGCTGAGAACAGAGGACGAGTGGGTATACCGCCAAGAAACGGAGCCGGAGCTAAGGCTGAAGGTGTAACTCTATGACGACCGCTGCGTAGCCAAGTCGTCAACCCAAGACGCGTCTGCATGTCAGTGAGGACAACTGGACCCTGTCATCCAAGCACGAGCCCCATGCCAGATGCACTACACAAGTAGCGCAACACCCTCTTAGCGGCCTCCTAGTGCTCTGGTCGGTGTCTCCCGTGCGCAACGTAGCGTGCCAGGATGCTAAGAGGGTAGGCAAGGTTAGCTCAAGTGCAGGTCATCAGGTACATGAGGTAGTCCACAAGCTCTGGATACGGGCCACTCGGCTCTACAGACTCGTCCGAAGGTGGAGCTGAGAGTGAGTGACCGGTAGGCAGAGGAATGGAATGTGGCGAGGAGAACCGCAAGCTGAAGCGCTGAAGCACCTGGTGCACCATGTGTGACTAAGTCAGGGTGATGGTGCGCCGTGCTCTATCCCGGGTGATCTGCAAGCCAAGATAGTTGTGTAGCTCACCCAGGTCTGTCCACGTGTGTCTCTTTTGGAGCTCCGACTTCACAAGGGCCAGTGCATTAGTGTCAGCAGTGGCAAAAACCAAGTCGTCGACATACACGAGGATATAAAACGGCGTCAGCGTGTCGGTGCACAGATTCAGTGACGGGTCAGCAGTCAAAGGAGCAAACCCAAGCGCCACAAGTGTCATCTGCAGTGTGTCGTGCCACTCACGAGGCGCTTGGTGGAGACCGTAGACTAGCCGCCGGAGGCTCCACTGAGTACCTGCAGGAAACGACCAAGTGAATCCAGGTGGGCGGCGCAGCCAGATCTCCTCGTGCAGGTTGCCCTGTAAGAAAGTTGTGCTTAAGTCAAGAGAGTGGAGCTCGTAGTCACACTGAGCAGCAACGTGCAGCAACACCTGAAGAGCGGTCATCTTCGGGATAGGGGAGGAGGTCTGGAAGAAGTCAACTCCCTGTCGCTGACTAAAGCCTTGTGCAACGTAACGAGCCTTTAAGACAGGTGGAGAACCCGGCGGATGCTTCACCCTAAAAATCCACATGCCATCGACTATGTTCGCCTCAGGAGGGGGAACTGCATCGACTTAAGTGCCTGTGGACTTTTAGGATGCCATCTCTGCGTCCATGGCTGTCTGCCACTGAGAGGAGTAGGGACCCGTAATCGCCTCTGCCTAAGAGCGCGGGGTCGGGATGTCTGGAGCATCCGGGTCTCCCTCAGATGCAAGCGGAATTAACACGAGATGCATGCGGAACACCGACGCATCGCCAACCTCCTCCGTCCAACGCAGTGTAGGAGAGGTCTCCGTCAAGGAGACACGGGGCCAGAGGTTGAACTGATGCGCAGCGTACCGGACCGCAAACGGCCACAGAAAATGGGGAGCAGCCGTATGGATCATGGAGGTACAAGCGACCTCCATGATTAAGCCAATGCGGCGCTCAGCAACCCCATTTTGCTGCGGAGAGGCCGGAAGCGTGAACGAATGACGGATGCCCTCCCCACGACAAAAGTCTCGCAAGAGGTCGGAGGCAAACTCACCACCTCTGTCAGAGTGCAGACGCAGGACAGGAAGGTCCTCACGGAACCGCTCGCTTAGCTGGAGACGGACAGTGCGGATTCAAGGGATCAAAACATCAGGGTCCTCCCCTTGCTGCGCAAGGGGAAGACCGTGGTGTAACGTGAATAGTCGTCAACAACCAGCAGAAAGTAGCGCTCGTGGCCCGGTCCATGGACGCGAGCTGGGCCTCACGCGTCCATGTGGAGAGTCTGCAGGGGAGAAGTCGTCGGGGGAAACGAGGAGGAGTGAGGAGTGGCGTGCTGCCCCCCGTCGACACAAGGAAGGTAGGGAGGAGCAGGCGAGGGTGGGAGGGGAGGCAGAGACCTTGGAAGACCAGAGACAAGGAGGCAGGAGTGCATGCCACGGAGGCGTGGTAGGGAGGGGTGAACAAGCCGATGGTGCCAAAGGAGAGTCTGGTGCGATAGGAGGGGACACAAGAAAGGGGCTGCTACTGGACCTGACGGGGACACCTGACCAGACGCAGCTACCTGAGGAGGCTCAGTAGTCCGTATGTACAGGCTCGACCTAGGCCGACGGGTGAACGTGGCCACGTGACGGCCCGTCCGTGTACACGTGCAGATCGACACATGCTGACCCCTTGGAGTGGTGATAGTGACCATCGCATCGTGGAGGGCAGCGGTGCTCACCAAGTTCGTTGAGAACAATGAGAGGTGAAGACCTGAGAGTGAGCCGGACGGAACCGCCGGACACGGGAGAACAGTGGAGGAGCGTGCAAGAACTGGGCCCCCTCAGGGGCCAGCTAGTCTGATTGCAAGAGGTGGAGGGTGTGGTGTGACTGTAGTACTGGCACGAAAGAAACATCGGGAAGCACCTGAGTCAAGCGTAAAGGTGTGCAAGGCCTCAGCAGGCGCAGTACCAAGGAGAGAAGACTCACTAGCACCTAGACAGCCTCTATACCTGGGTCGGGCAGCACACACAGGTAACAGTCACCCTCCGCACTAACAGTCAACGCATACATGGCAGCAAGGATAGCATCATAGTCAAGAGCAAAGATATCCACACCCTGCGTAAGCAGCTCTAGCCAGCGGAGGAGCTAATTTGCGTCGGAAAACTCTGTGCGCCAAGCGTCGTCTAGACGGGAGAAGCTGCGGGACTGTGTGTGACCAACCTTCCCGCAGGTCTGACCAGCGCGGTCACCTGTGCGAATGGCGTACTAGCAGCGAACACTACCCCAGACGCCTCACGCTGAGCAAACCTCTCACAAAGCTCTTGGGGCGTAAGGGTCTATGCGGACGCTGCTGCTGCTGCCTCTGGCCACCGCCAGTACCTCCCCTCTGACCGGTTCCACCCCGACCGCCACCATTGCTGCCGCCGCCACTCCCACTGCCACCATCAGTACCGCCACCACCACTCCCACTGCCGCCACCACCGCCGCCACCAACACCTCCACTCCCACCACCACTCCCTCCGCCACCTCCACCGCCTCCACCGCCTCCACCACCGCCTCCACTGCTGCCATCCCCACCACCCTTGCCTCCTTTGCCCTTGCCACTGCGGCGCTTCCCACTAGGAGCAGACGCAGCCCCGACCTCCTCAGCACCAAGGAAGTCAACAGCAGCAGCAGAAGAAGGGAGTGCGAGGAGTGCCACGAGCAGTACCTACAGCGACTACGCTAGCTTCACTTGCAAGGAGGTGCTTCTCGAGCAGGTCGACAGTGAGGTCTGTGGGGTCCATGGCAAGAAAGGGGTCCTTGACTACGCTAAGCGAGTCAAGGAGGCGGATGACGATGAAGTAGAGAGTGATGTACATGGGGGAAGGGTTCTTGTCTAGAAACTTGGCTGGAAGCCCGGCGCGATAGCGAGTGTCGCTAGTGCGAAGGTGGGTAATGAGGTTATCGACTGTGGCAAAGGCGGAAAGCTCGAGAAAAAGGTAGGGCAGTATAAGGCGGCCGAGAGCAGCAGTGGCAGGGGAGGAGTAACGAGCGACCACAACGGCATACAGGGCTTTAGCAGTCTTGTGCTGGCCAAAATGAGCACGTTTGGCTAACGGTAAGTGGTTGCAAACAGCTAGGCGAGCAGCAGCGTCACGGGTAAGCCACTGTGAGCGAGTCGCATCGCCAGCTGTGTCGGGAGGGGCGAGAGAGGCTCCAAACATGTGGTCAAACAACGAAACACCGTCTCTAGAATCACTTAGTTGGTACAGCTGTAAGTCATCAAGCCACGTATCGAACTAGATCGAACGGCCCTCGGGATCGAATGTGAGAACGCTGAGAGTAGTCATAGCTGGCAGAGCAGGTTGGCGCACGAGCAGCAGGGTAGCACGCAAGCAAGGACGGCGCGACGGGCAGGGCGACGCGCAAGCGCTAGGGAAACGCGCAGGGCAGGGCGGGGCAGCGCACGGCTAGGGCAGGGCGGCGCAACTAGCAGGGCAGGGCGGCAGCCAGCAAGGTGGGGCGCGGTCACGGCAGGGCAGGGCGGCGGCCATCAGGGCAGCACGTGGGCAGGGTTGGGCAAGGTGGCACGCGGGCAGGGTAGGGCAGGGCGGCGGCCAGCAGGGCGGCTCGCGGGCAAGGCAGGGCGGTGCTGCGGCCAGCAGGGCGGTGCGCAGGCAGGGCAGGGCAATGCAGCGGCCAGCAGGGCGGCGCTGCGCTAGCAGGGCAACGCTACGGGCAAGGGAGGGCGGCGCGCGACCAGCAGGGCGACGCGCGGCAGGGCAGGGAGGCGCGGCGGGTAGGGCAGAGCAGCGCGCAACCAGCAAGGCTGCGCGCGGGCAAAAAAGGGCGGTGCGCGGGCAGGGCAGGGCAGCACGTAGCGAGCAACGCAACGCGATGGTGGGGTAGGGCACTACGGGCAGCGAAATATACGGTGGGTCCTAAAGAAAAACGGTCCTGGGACTGGACCTGCTCTGATTCCATGTCAGAATAGTGAACAGGAATGAATGCATTGAGAAGAAAGGTGGTACAAGTACTCACCTTAATTGGGTTGTACCCCTTATGGGCTACCCCACTACAACCTAACCATGATAATAGTGTGACAAGTAACTGTGGGTGAGACTAGTCATTCGGTGGGAATAGTAATGGAGTAGTACCAGCAACCGGGAACTCAGTAGCAGGAGGCGGAAGACTGAGAAGGTGACGAAGCGCAGACGGCTGCGGCTGAGTAGTTGCACCCCCAGAACCTCGAGCCCCAGTAGGAACAGCACCCCCAGAACCAGCACCTCCAGCTCCACCACCGGGACTGCCCCAACGGACAGCCCACTCGCGAAGCTACTGCGGCGAGAGCGACTCTTGCCGACCAGCACCACCAACTCGAGTACCTCCAGTAGCACCTCCAGTATCAGCACCTCCTGTACCTCCAACTCCAGTAACAACAACACTAGCACCTACGGGGCCAGCATTTCTAGTACCTCCAGTAGCACCTGTGCCTTCAGCACTAGTACCTCCAGCACTGCCAACTCCAGGAACACCAGCACTAGCACCTCCAGGGCCAATACCTCTAGTACGTGCAGCTCCAGCACGTCCAGCGCCGCCACCAGGACTGCCCCAACGGACAGCCCACTCGCGAAGCCACTCCGGCAAGAGAGTCGCCTATTGACGTGTACCAGCACCTCCAGCACCCCCTGCACCCGTAGGACTCGCATCACCCTCAGAGCCAGCACCCCCAGAGTCCGCACCCCCAGTGTCACCATCTCTAGCAGCACCAGAGTCCACAGCGACGGGCTGCAGAGGTGGTGAAGATGGTCGAGGCAGAGAACCAGGAGGGACCGCCAAGCGCGCGAAGCGGCGAGGGTCACGGTGTCGGCAGCAGCCTGGTCACCCCCCTCAGCTAGGCCAGAGGTGTATGAGGAGACCTCCAAAGGCTCAACCAAGCGGGGTGGGTCTACCTGAGACACACCTGAGGGAGCGGGACCAAGAGGAGGGAGGGGGGCTACTTGGGGGGGGGGGGAGGTCGTCAAAGGTGACGTCGGTGATGGACTGCGGTGGGGGTGAAGACAGTAGAAGCAGACGGACTCGTCAAAGGTGACGTCGCGGGAGGACAGCACACGGCGAGAGCCCAGGTGGTAAAACTGCCAAGGCGATGCGTCGGTGGGAAAGCCAAGGAACACGCAACGAAGAGTGCGTAGAGAGAGCTTGCTCGCGGGCAAATTGCAGACAAGAGAGAGGGAGCCCTAGACTCGAAACGCTGACGCATCACCAGCCTCGCCCGTCCACCGTAAAGTAGGGGAGGTTTTCGAGTGGGAGACATGGGGCCAGGGTTGAGCTGCGCAGCGGCGTATCGGACCGCAAACGGCCACAGAAAATGGGGAGCGGCCGCATGGATCATGGTGCGAGCAACCTCCAGGACGAGATCAATGCGGTGCTCGGCAATCCCATTCTGCTGTGGATGGGCCGGAAGCGTGTACGATTGGACAATGCCCTCAGCACCACAGAAGCCTTTGAGGAGGCGGGAGAAAAACTCACCACCTCGGTCAGAGTGCAGCCACAAGACTGGGAGGTCCTGGCGGAAACGAGCGCTGACCTGGAGACGGACTGCGCCTAGCGCTAAGACGAGCCGCTGCACCGCTGGCAGGTCTCTCGTAAACGCATGCAGCCACGACCGTGCCTAGCACTAAGACGAGCCGCTGCCCTTCGACATGGTCGGACATATCGGCGTCACAAGCCTCACGCAGGAGCGCCTGGACTAATTGCAGCAGCTGCACGAAAGCCCTGAGGAAATTGTGGTGCTGACGGGAGAGCGTACGTCACTGCAAAATGATGTTGCACGGGTGTAACAAGCACTATTGCAAACACAAGGCACACAAGCACAAGGAGCACATCAAGCATCCCAGCACGGAAGTGTGGGACAACCCTCGTTCGCGGCTAGTGATGGCGTCGCCCGCAACGACGGGGGCGACGACTATGGCACGACACACCCTGGAGTGATGAATGCGGCCAGGAGTCAGCCATGCATAACGATTTCGGTGCCGAAGGACGAGTCAACACTGTCGTCGTCGATGTCGCTCAAGCCGTATCGTCCGCCTTGCCTTGATCTGAGCCAACGGGGTGGTCCAACTGTTCAGGCATGGTTATTCACGACGAACGTCTTCTTCGACGCCAACTACCTCTCGGTGGATGCGGCGAAAAATTTGATACACCGTGTCGCTGATGCGAGGACCCGCCATAGATTGGTGGCGCGTCATCGTCACGAAGCCGACGGACTACGAGGCCCTACCGTTAGAGAAGGACAACCCGGACCCTGGGCGCCGTCGTATTTTGTGGAGGTAGCCTAGTATCACGCGTGGGATGTGTGGTGCGCAAGTCTGCGCGCGCGATTCGAGCCAATCGTGGCTTCGGTTGTGGCACGACAGTGGCTCCGCACTTGGCGCCTGCTCAGTTCCATCCAGGACTACACTAGCAAGTTTCTGGCGCTATGCGAGAAGGTGGGATACATGCATTAGGTGGAACGCATCGACTGCTACGTCGGCGGCTTGAAAAGCGATATCGCCCAGGCGATCCTGCTATGCAACATTATTGGATTTAACGAGGTTCTCGCTATGGCGGAGAAGCTCGGTTTTCTTCGCCGACCGAGACCGGGGTCCTATGGCAACAACAGCAGTTGGGGACATTGGACTCGTGGGACGAACGAGCACGCAACGATACGCGCCGTCGTCGCGAATGCCACTGCCGCACCATTCAATGGGCGCTGCTTTGCTTGCAATAGGTGGGGGCACCGTAAGAGCGAATGCCCGGAAAACGCTAAGGGAAAGGGGGAAGCTGAGTAGCAGAAACAGACCAAGCAGCAGGAATACGCTGGTCGGTAGTCGACAGGGCCTCTACTGACAGGTCACGCTGCTCGCCCGACCCAACCGACCCTCACCAAGTGATTGTGCCAGTTCACGCAATCGACCATACCAGGCCGAACATGGAGGGTACAACGGTAGACAGTCCCATACTGCACAGCGGGAAAATACAGACGGACTTAGTTAAAATCTTTGTAGTGTTAGCGTGATCAACACCCGCAACTGCATGGAGACTGAAACTGACACTGGACCGATGCTTACCTGAGATAGACGCACGACTGGTCGACTGCACGCCACTTGGGATACGTGAACACGTGGACCAAGTTCGCATCCGATGCGGGGGTAACTTCACATTCACCCAGGAAATGCTAGCGGCGACCCTCGACGGGACAGATATTTTACTCGACCGTGATTAGTTGCGACGACACAACCCACGAATCGATTGGACGACGGGTGACTGCACCGTGCGAGTGAACAATAACAACATCGCCCTACCTCGCTGGAGTTCGCCTAAGCCTTCGTCAGTGCGTGTCAACGCAATCATGATGAAATGCGCCGTAGCGGCAGGAGCTGTCGTGTGTGCGGTTGACATTCGGGAAGTCGAAGCATCAGGCAAGCCAAGGGATTTGCAGAAACGGCTCGCCAATGTACCGGATGTGCTACTAAAGCAGTACAACGGGATTTTTCTGGATGATTTGCCAGAGGAATTGCCACCTGATCGACCACATGACCCGAGGATATGGAACCGACGGCACAGCTGATAGTACAGCGACAGTTCCGGCTGACTCAACCCAAACTGAATGAACTGCGGAAGCAGCTGGATTACCTGCTCGAGAAGAAATTCATTAGCCCAGTTCGTCGCCCTTCGCCGCACAGATATTGTTCACACCGATAGAACACGGGAGCTTTCGCATGTGCATAGATTACCGTGCACTGAACAGAGTTACCATCAAGTCCCATTACCCCATCCCGCGAGCCGACGAACTAATAAACCAACTTCGCACAACACGAGTCTTCTCGAAAATCGACCTTTGAGAAGGTTACCACCAGATCCGATTCAACGCGCCCGTCTGCCCGGAAACCGCCTTGTGCACCGGCTACGGATCATTCGAATACACCGTCATGCCCTTTGGACTGACCAACGCTTTTGCCACATTCCAAATGACCATGAACGAAGCCTTCCGCCCGCTCTTAGATAAGTGTGTAATTGTCTACTTAAACGACGTAGTGATCTACTGCCCGGACCGAGCACAGCACCAACAGGTAATCGAAGCAATTTTAAAAATACTGAGTAAGAACCATGAGCTGGGTGTTGGCCCCGTCCTCGCTGGGGCGGAGCCGACTTCCGTAGTTGGGTGTGCGCGATGTGCATCCGATCAACTGCAGTGGGCGATGCCGACTTGGGCGAGCAGGTCAACGGGGTTGGTCTATCAGAATGTTATTCTCTAGCCTGTAGTGGGGTGCTTTATAACGAGTACAACCCATCTAGGGTTTGCTATATGTATCCTCATTGCTGCTAGTGAAACCCCCTTCTTCTTCATTCCTCGTTTTTTCACATGCTATCAGAGCATCTACGCTCCTGGCCTGTGGTCCCACCTAATTGCTTCCGCTGCTACTCTGTGTTCGGCACGCCCCGTGGCGTGCCCCTCGCGCTACTCTTAGGGCCCCGTTGCCGCCCTTCCAGGCCCCTCGCGGCCCCTTCGCAGCCCCGACGCCACCCCTTTCGAGGCCCGTCGCCGCCCTTCCAGGCCCCTCGCGGCCCCTTCGCGGCCCCGTCGCCGCCCCTATCGGCCCCGTCGACGCCGCCAGCGGCCCCGTCGCTGACCCTAGCGGCCCCGACGCCGCTCCTATCGGACCCTTCGCCGCCGCCAGCGGCCCCGTCGCCGCCGCCAGCGGCCCCGTCGCCGCCGCCAGCGGCCTCGTCGCCGACCCTAGCGGCCCCGTCGCCGCTCCTATCGGCCCCGTCGCCGCCGCCAGCGGCCCCGTCGTTGCCGCCAGCGGCCCCGTCACCGCCTCCAGCGGCCCTGCCGCCGCCACTTGCAGCCCCGGCCCCGCCCTGGCCATGCCCCGTCGCCAGCCGCGGCGCACCGAGGGCACGTGCACCGCCCCCCCCCCCCCCCCCCCCCCCCCCCCCCCCCCCCCCCCCTTTTCCCGTCGCCCGTCGCGGCTCCTTCGGGGGCCACGGGCGACCTGGGGGAGGGGGGCGAGCATCGCCCCTTCTGCCGCCTGTTTTGGCGCCCTG